GCTCCCAGGTATTCCTGCCTTTGCTGGGGCTGGGAGCACACCTTTGCTGGGGCTGGGAGAACTATTAGTCTAGGGTACGCTGGGGCAACTCTGGTTGTCAAAGGTGTTAGGACACAAAAGTGCCTTCTGTGTGGTTGCCATGAGGATATGGACTGAAATATTTGAGGCTGTTTTCCCTGAGAGGAACATGTGTATGACTAGAACCTATTGAGGTGACTGTACCCTGGTTGCTACAGGTCTCTACAGAGGAATTGACACAGTTCTACAGAGGCAGGGTGGGGATGGGAGTAGACATCCAACCAGACATGGGAGGAGACAGTGAGTTTGGTACGGTTATCTGCACAATGCTTATGTCCCACATAGGGACGAGTCAGGTGGGCCTGTGAGTATGTGTGTGCATGTGTGTAACTTCAGGAAACATTTAAAACACTTCTCTTTGACAGTGTAATGTAGGTCTCTGAATGGCAGCGGTGCCAGACTATGTGTTCCAGTCCATTCTTTAGTGAGTCTGACAGTAGATTGGCATGTCGTGCCACCCCCGCCCCCCCACTTTATGATTTCACAGAGTGACTAATGTCCTCTGAGTCATAAGGGCAGGCTGGGATGGCCTATGTGTCTTGACAGCAGACTGTCTATGTTGTTTGGAAGCATCCTTAGTCATTTGTCCAGCAAATGTCACATGAAGCATTCCATGTGTAGAAGAAAGTCCCTGTTCTCACTGAGCTGGTAGATGCATGAGTGAGTGAATAAGCAATAGCCATGGCCAGATGCTTCCCACCACCATAGTCAGATACTTCACACCTACATGGCCAGACACTTCCCACCGCCATAGTCAGACACTTCACACCTACATGGCCAGACACTTCCCACCGCCATAGTCAGACACTTCACACCTACCTGGCCAGACACTTCACACCTACATGGCCAGACACTTTTCACCGCCATAGTCAGACACTTCACACCTACCTGGCCAGACACTTCACACCTACCTGGCCAGACAGTTCCCACTGCCATGGCCAGACACTTCACAGCTACAAGGCCAGACACTTCTCACCACCATGGCCAGATGCTTCACACCTACATGACCAGACACTTCTCACTGTTTTTAAGCACAGCCAATGAGTGGGCACAGTGGGAGAAAAGAGGCCCAACACAGAAGGAACATTGAGGTGAGACTAGAATGAAGCCAGGATGTAGTCAGCAGTTTTCCTGTGTCCCACCTGGTATGATAGAATAATTTCTTTAACTTTGCAAAATACAAAGAGACTAGATACTGTAACTGTAATTCTTGCTTGACTGTTCTACTATATGTAATTTTACTATGTTAAAGTTAAAACCTTCCTTTTTGATTAGACAGAAAAGGGGAAGTGCTGTGGGATGTCTGTCTGTACGCTGTGAATACGTGTTGCTCTGATTGGTTGATAAACAAAGCTGTTTGGCCTATGGCAGGGCAGGATGGAGCCAGGTGGGAAAATCCAAGGGAGATAGTGAAAGGAGAAAGGAGAGGCGGGGAGACGCCATCCCGCTGTCCAGGGAGCAGCATGTAATGGCACACAGGTAAAGCCACGGAACACGTGGTGACATATAGATTAATAGAAATGGGCTGAGTTTAGTTCTAAGAGCTGGCTAGCAAGAAAATTGAGCCATAGGCCATGGCCATGGCATTCATAATTGATATAAGCTTCTGTGTGTTTACTTAGGTCTGAGTGGCTGTGGGACCGGGCAGGATACAGGAAAACTTCCAGGAGAAAAGGGGACAGAGCACACACCTGGCCAGGGCATTGCAGTGAAGCCAGGGACCCCACTGAACCCTGAAATAAAAGTCTTTTTGTGTGTGTTCTTATGAAAACATGCAAGGTAGATGCTATTGAGTGTGTTTTGAACAAGGGGCTATCGTTTTAGAGAATTCACATAATTTTCTGGCATCATGTAGTGGACAGAGACTTCACGGCTAGAAACCGTGACTTGCTTCAAGCTGTAGAGCTCCTGAAACAAACAGGCTTGGTGCACTCCTCAGCCTCACGGCTCTTGTTGCTTCCCTTAAGTAAGTGGGACACCTGGTTGGGGGGTTCCAATCCATAGAACACAGGAATACGTTAGAGACAGACCAACAAACCCTTCACTGACAGGCCAGTGTTCAGTACTACACTACACACTCTGAAAGGAAGCCATTGTCCTCCTTAGGGGTCTAATGCCCAGTGACAGCTCTCTCTCTCTCTCTCTCTCTCTCTCTGTTTTTTTCTTTGTCTCTGTCTCTGTCTCTCTCTCTCTCTGTGTTTTTCTGTCTGTCACTCTGTCTCTGTCTCTGTCTTTCTCTCTCTGTCTCCACTGGGAATGAAACCCAACGCCCCACATGCTTACGCCTTTCACTTTTGATTTCCTTGGAAACTATTCCGACGGTAGAAGCCTGCCTTGGGGTAAGGTCAGAAAAAGCAGGTCATCCATTCCTAGTTCTATACCAGTGAAGCAACACAAATGTGAGGCTCAGTTTGGATTTGCTTTTTAGTCTCTCGATAATGAAGTCCTGCCTCTGCAGGTAGTCTGGTCCTCTGAAAAACGGCCGCACTGTGAAGTACTTTCCATCTCTGGGTAGGAAGCACCGTATTGTCGGAGGGGTGTTCCTGTGCATTGCTCTGCTTCGGCGGACGTGAGTCACTCTTCATATACTGTTTGTCTTCAGAATGTCTTTAGTGAACATCCAATACACGCATCTGTAGAGGTCACTTCTGAGGTGGGTCACTTTCCTACAGACAGGCTAACTGTGCTTCATAGTGGAGGGCACAAGAGGCTCAGCCAGGTTAAGGAATGTCCCCAGGGCAGCACAGCTAATGAGCAACAGAGCTGGGTGATGAAGGGTTTTGTTTCAATTCTGAGTCCAAGTTCGAGCTCTAGGCCAGTCTTCTGCTTGAAGTCAGGCAGTTTTCACGTGTGACCGAGTGAAAGGGCAGAGCCTATAAGAGCCATTCCAGGCCAGACCTTAGGAGGCACCAGCAAGCCATAGTCTTTGTAACTAACGGTATCACGGACATGGCCAATGCCAGGACCACAGCTGTGCTTGTCACTAGACCTGCAGCTGGGCCTTCCGAATGCTGTCCCTAGAAGCACCTTTGTCCTCCTCACCTGGATGCGGGTCTCTCTCTACACTCAGCGAGCTCCCGGAAGCAGGTGGTGGTACCCCCAGTGCTAGACTCCACGTCCCTGGCTGGTCCGAGGGAATGAATAATGAAGTCACTTGAAGAACTGGGCCTTTGCTTTTGGAAACAGGAAGCCTTAAATAATTAGTGCTGAGGATGGGGCCAGAGAGCAGGGAGAGGAGGAACACACGGTCTTTCCTCACTTTTATGCAGGAATTGCACTTTGCTTCGGAAGTGAGAGTCTTGAGGCGAGGCGTTTCTGGGAGGTTAAGCCATTTCTCAGGTGTGAAGCCCTGGCTCCTGCTTTATGAAGTTTTCTGGGCTGGGTTTCAAATGCCCCGAGCTTCCTGCCTGGCATGTCTGAGCAGTCATGGTCCAAGGCCGACTGCCTTGGGGTTTGTCTTTGCTTTGCAATTTTTCTTTCTCTGCTGAATGAGAAAGTACACGTCCTTTGTCTTTTCTGTACTCAATAAAACTCCCGAATCCTGCCATCAGGCCCATTGAGTGGAACTGTGAGAACAGAACAACTGGGAGGAAGCGGGGGTCATGGAAGAATTGCTAGGGGCGACATCGATCCTTTCCAAAGGTCATTAAGAGGCACGCCGCCATGTTCAGGAGTGATGAAAAGCCCTGAACAAACTGCTGGGCAACATTTTGTCAACAGCACACCTAGCCTTGGGACGCCATGAGATGTATAGTGCCAGCCTCGCAATTGTGGAGCAAGGATGCCAGCCAGCTCTCTCCTTAGAACTGTGATGCAAACGTAACATTTCTCACCTAACTCTTGACTCCAGACCCTCCCCCAGACATCTCACCTGCACCCAAATACGAACTGCAAAGGCTCTGAAGCCCAGATCACTGGTTGGCCAGAAACATTAATTACAGTTATAGCTGAGGTTATAACAGGCTGCAAACATTTCCTGTTATAATTGGAATACAGATTCAACAGTTTTATTGAATGTCAAAGCACATTATTCCACACGGCTGCTGGAGAGGCACCGCTGGAGTGATGCTTCTCTTCCTTGACAAACACCTATTAAGCAGTCAGCACAAACTCTTCCTTACAGCCCCCCGATATCACCCTCAGGGCAGGCAGACACAGCACAGCCATTGCTGAATCGCATATGAAAATTATAGTTTTATTGTCTATGCAACGGAAGGTTTAACTCGGACTCCTGCCTCCATCTGAGCTGGATAAAGAAGCAATTCTCCTCGTGGAAAAAATAAGCACAGTACACTATTGTAATCGAAGAAACAGGCACTATTTATGTATCAGAAAGCCTTGCTCTCAATGGGGCTAACAGTCTGATGGCCCAGAAGCCACTAGGCTTGCAGCTGTAGAGAAAGAGCTGTAGAAGTCACAAGTAATGAGATGCTAGGAGCAGCGGGGACGGATGGCGGTGGCACTGGGGGAGGCCCCTCCTGCGGCTGCCCTGTCAGTTCAGCAAGCACGACTCGTAGGTGGGTACCATGTACTTGATGTTGATGAAGGCATCCTCCCCTCCGTAGCGCTCGAAGGCTTCCAGCGTCTCCTGGATCAGGTCGCCAATGTTCTCCCTCTTCTGCTGGCTGTAGTCGATGCCGTCTCCGGAGTTCACTGGTTCAGGCAAAAAAACAAAGAGGCGGTCATTTCCAGGCAGCGGCCCCGGCGTCCCACCCCGCAGGCCAGGCATTTCCCGAGGGCCTGTTAGGAGACACTGGCAGGCAACGCCTTCACGTTATCTTGCTGAAACTTGAGGCTGGTGGAAACGTCACAAAAGTACCAAACCTCATATGATGGTGATGCCATGCCTGAGATACTCGCATCACCAAGCTGAGGCAGGAGGATCACCATGAGTTTGAGACTAACCTGGGCTACATAATAAGATTCCTTCTTTTAAAAAGCCAACCAACCAACCCATCAAACAAACAAGAAAAAAACACCAAATCCCAGGGCAGAGCTGGTGAAAATTAATCTAAAATAAAGAAACAAAGTGAGAGGATCATGTGATGAGCCCCCTTTCCAGTCAGAAGATCTCTTTGTCCACTGATCACAGAGTGTTCCCTTGGGTCTTGGGAACTGTCTACGGTCAGAGCAGGCAGGCGGTCTCACACGGCTCACAAGGGGCAGGAGAAAGACAGGTTCAGCTTAGAGCTGTGCCTTGTGCCTCTGCTGCTTTGTGCACATGGTGAAGTCTCGCTCTTGAGGATTAGGGACCCCAGAGTCCTGCAATTACTCCCAGCACTTTGCTGTTTATGTGCTCCAGAATGACATGATATCTGATGACCGATCTTAGGGTCCTGGCATACCAGGGCTTAGTGCTGCTGCCGGTGCCGTAGCTTGCAAGTCCAGGGAGGCCTGACTGCTGCCCAGCCTCTCCCAGCCTGCAGCTAGCCACTGTGACTGTCTTACTGGTGTCGGTGCCGTAGCTTGCAAGTCCAGGGAGGCCTGACTGCTGCCCAGCCTCTCCCAGCCTGCAGCTAGCCACTGTGACTGTCTTACTGGTGTCAGGAAGGAAGCAAGTCTAGATGTCCTTGGCAAGCCTTGAACCTGCACCTCAGACCTCCCACTCAATAAGCTCAGGCTACAGCTACTCGGGTGAAAGGTTCCTGATAGCCTAGACTGTGAGATGTCCGGAGAACCACAGTTCTGACAGAAGGACACCCCCTGTGCACCCTCCAGACTCTAACACTTCTACACAGTGATTGCACACTTTCTGCTGCATCCACAGATTTCCAAGGGCTTTAGTGTCACTGTCCCTAGAAGGGAGACGTTATTGCCTCTGGAGAAGCAGCTCACATTGCCTGGTGACACCGGAAAGGGCAACAAGCTGGGCTTCGAGGAGCCAGAGGGATGCAGATGTGAGCTCAGGCCAGCGGATGCCACGGGGTGAGGGAGCACAAGCCAGCCTGAAAACTTGCACCTCACAGAGGAAGGGCTTATTCATCCACACTGCAAACACAGGCTTCAAATGTTTGCCCCGCTGGAATGTAAGAGTAGTGGAGGTTACAGTGATGCTTCACACTTCTTATCCCCAGTTATGCTGGGACAAATCAAAAAGATTGGGTAATGGTTCAGACCAGAGCAAAGATAACAATGACAGTCCCACACAACACAGACAGACACTTCTTTCACTTAATGTCTCCCCAGAAACTTCCTAGAAGAACACCACTGTCTTAGATGATACAGAAAAAACAGATTGCCATTCTGATCGGTTTGGTTGGCAGGAGTGAAGGCAGGTAGAAATACACCAAATCTGCAAAAACAGTCTTCCAACTGTGACACATATTAATTTATTCCATAAAGTGAACTTACAATGGTTTATAAAACCGAATATAATTAGGTGATTTGTCCCCCCATGGTGGACCCCTTTCCATCACATTGTGAACTAGATTTAAGTCCATTTAAAGTCTGACTCATAAAGTGGCTGGTTATTCAAAATGTCAAACATATGGAACACATTCATGAACATTGTTCCAAACAGTATTTACAGTGTGGAGAGAATATTTATCATCAAGAGAGAAGCATTGCAAAGACTCTCGTCATAATTTTGAAGAAAGCATAAATAATATCAGAAAGCATAAATAATACCATTATCATCATCATCATTAAAGACTGACATGGTGCATCCTGAGACGAGAGGGTACAGTCAGGAATGGCCACGGCATGGAGAACATGAGGGGCTGTCCGGAGGAGAGGGTCCCTGAGTTGAACTGGAAGAGAAGGAGTGAAAGAAGATGTGGGGGTTGGCAGAGGCGGGTGTGGCTGCTGTTCGATGGAGGTGTGTGGAAAAAAAAATGGTCCTAAACAAAGTCAGAAGGGGACCAGGAAACAAGGTCCCAAAAGAGTCAGGCCAAGCTATAGGACAGGGGATGCTGTATGATAAGGCTGATGGCTAAGAGCAAGTGTAGCCTTAGGAATGAAGTCAATGTCCGAGGAGTCCATCTTGAGTGGGAAGAATGCCCCAGGGTGCCTCCGGCCATTCTCTGTGTCCTTCTTCCTCCCAAATGACATTGCTTCTCAGTATCAGCTCGTGGTCTCTCACATAGTTAGGGAGAACTTGGCAGGCTCTATTTGCCTCGGACGGTCGAACCTGCAGCACCCTCTGCCCCAGAGACACCTGGGAAATAACGTTGGTGATGCATGGCTGTGACAGCCTTGATACAGCTCCTGCTAGACAAAGATCCATGTATCAACCACTGGTAAATAGCGCCTTTTGTTGTGTCCAAAAGGTCAAGGACTGAATGGGTCACAGGACAGGCACATTTTCCCGATGGAGCTGAGGGAGTTTGGGAAGTCTGCGCACAATGGGGAACTCAACACACCCTGTTTTTCACTCCCTTTCAGAACGCAGCAGCGACAAGCAACACTTTATTCCATGTTCTTACTTCCTAAAAAGTATTTAACTGGAGGAGTAGCTCAGTGGCTTCTTTCTGTTTTGCACTGTGTAGCAACCCCAATGATAAAAGGACAGAGCAGAATAGAAGTTGTTTGTTCAGAAGGCAGTTGGAGTTGCACTGTTTTGTGGTTGCAGAATGTGTATCATGGGGGCAGAGGAAGACCAAAAGGCAAAACAAAAATCAAGAGCCTGCGACTTGTTTTGCATGCTGCAATGACGACAGGGCAGGTTAATGTCGCACTGTGTTGATGGGCAGGTGCTGATGTGATCTCCATTTTGAAACTGCACTGTTCTCAGTGTCTTGAGAAGCAGGAATGGAGGTGACTCCTTTGAGCTCCCTGCTTTAAATGCAGACAATGCCACTGGAAAATATATTTGTGAGGATAGGACACTTAAAACAACAATAACAACAACAACATCCACCAGGTGGTTATTTACAATTGTCAGTTCTGGTTAGGAAGATGGAGTTTCAGTGTAGGAAGCGGGGAGTCTGTGTTCAGATGGCTTGGAAGGGACACTGATGATGGAAAAGATAACTTTCATTTATAGCTAAACAGGTAGGGCACATATGGAGGGCATAAGCCAGACTTTGTGCCCCGTGAGAATGACATGCAAATAGTTGAACAAGGGATGGGGAATGTTCTTAGAGATGCTGGCATGCAGGAGGCAGGCGACGACCTCCTTAAGGTAGTTCCCAGTTCCAAGTTATTTGAACTGCGTTTAGCACTTTGAATGTTGACTCTTTGGTTATCTGAGCAATCTGCTTCAGGATTAAAGGCATTCAAAAGCCCTCTCCTCGCTAATCCCTTTGAAATGATCTTGCCCCGGATTCTACCTCTCGGATTCTACCTCTCGTTCTTCTTCAGGTCAGAACAAGACAGGTGTGTACTTCCTATGTGCTCACGGATGGCATCTTCCTGGTGAAAGAACTCAGTTTGTGCCTGAGGAGCGGCTAACCCTTCACGGAGGGCCACGGCAAAGGGCAGTTACGTAAGACACATTTACATTTCACACAGATATCTGCAACTTGGTGGACGCTGGCCAGCAGCAGACGGGGATCACGCAGAATTTTGATAAAATACCTCCAGTGTGATTTTAACTTCTAGATGGTAGGAACCTCATTCTTTTGTTTTATTTAGTTGCCACTATTACACACACACAAAGGAGCACAATCAGAAGCAAGACGTTCAAGGCAGGAAGGAAGGCCAGCTTTGCTGGAGCGAGCACGTTCTTCTGAAGCCAGGTTTGGGATCGCCTTTGAAGCCTTGCTCCTTGGGCCTGAGCCCACCCTTGGCCTTGGCGGCGACGGCAGCTACTGTTACAGGGTGTTCTTTGTGCACAGGGAAAGCTCTGCTGGGCCTGGCAGGACGAAGGGACATGAGAAGACATCGGGCCCTTGCCCGGGGTTGGGGTGTGTGTGGGGTGGGGGGAGCTCACCAGCTGGGTGAGGAACTCTCCTAGGGCTGCTCTTCGTACAGGACAGATGAACCAGCCCCCGTGGGAACACACGCCACTCGTGAACCCCGACCTCACTGTCTTCTGGTTGGTGTCCTTTTGCCGTCCACTGGATGTGTGCTCTGAGAGAACTCTGCCCCGCTTGTTTTCGCTGGGTGCCCAAGGGAAAAGCCATGAGGATGTGTGGATGGCTACCTGGCTGAGAGAGAGTTCGATTCAGATTTGGGTTTGTCTGCTTTGCATGCTGTTTTTGGAAATACTCTGTAATGGTGAATGGAAAGAGTCTCGTGAACAGTCACAGCCCCCGTTACCCGGAAATAAAAGCCTTCTTTAGGTCAGGACAAACGTACAGGACCCAAATAGAGGCTTGCTCCAGGTCTTTCACCAACACACCAAAGGCACGAACTCTGTCAGCTCTTTCTGGCACGACTAAGGTAATGAACAGCCCCACCCTAGGGAAGGAGCTCCCTTCACCTTCGGTAACTCTGACACGTCACGGCCTGAGGCTGCAGCAGTGTGGCCCTCAGGAGGGGACAAGATGGCCTGGCTGGGAGCAGTGTCACCGGAGAAGATGACAAAGGCATCGCCTGCCCACCTCCCCCTTTGGGCCTGCAATGGCCAGTCAGGCGATGCCTCACACTCTGTGAGGGTCAGGAGAAGAAGGTGGGGGGCGCAGGGGTGGCGAGAAGGCTCACTGGCCACCAATCCCCCGATGACCTGAGTTCAGTTCCTGGGATCCGCAGGATGCAAAGAGAGAACTGACTTCCACAAGCTGTCCTCTGACCTCCACGGCACACATTTACCTTCACACGTCAAAAAACTAAAATTGAAAATAAAAATAAACATAATAAAAATGCTAAAAGGAAACAAGAACAAAATTCTGGATGAGGGCAGGTGGCGATGATACCTAGACTCTTGTTCCCCAATCTCTCCTTGCCCAACTTGCTAACTTGTAGAAATTTCTGGATTTATATAACTCAAGCCTAATAATGAAGGAGATTGGTGTTGCCTTCCAAGCACTGGGTAGCCCTTTAAGTAACTGAAGAAATCAGAAGTATACCAGGGATAGAGAGAGGAGTAAGCACGCAGATCCAAGCTGGCCTTCGCCCTGGGCAGCACCAGTCACAGAGGCAGACTGGCTCTCGCACAGCAGAGGCTGAAAGGCAGCTGCAAAGTGAGCTTTGAAATACAGAGTGCTTGAACGTGTCCCCAGGCCAAATCCAGATCGAAGCTTTCCCCAGGGAGGGCGTGTTCATCAACATGAAGCAAACTGCCAGAGTGCCCTCGAACACCGAGGCCCCGAGTGGCATACTCGGTGTCCAGCAAGGACTCCCATCCGCTGTGGCTGGGTGAGCTTGCTGAAGTGACGCGAAGCAGAATTTAAAATGCACCAGCAGAACAAATGCAACTGATTCTGGATCAGAAAAGGCATTCATCCGGTTCTCAACCAACTCAAAAGTCCCTGTGACCTGTCTGGATGTGGTGGCATGCACCTGTAATTCCAGTGCTCAAGAAATAGAGGGGGAGACAGCAGGATTATGAGTTCAAGGCCAGTCTAGGCAATAGTGAAATCCAATAAAAGAAAAAGACAAAGACTTGTGATTTCACTTCTTTGTTTGTTTGTTTCTTGTGGCACCAGCCACAGTTAAAGGAGCTGCCCTCCTCCTTTAGTGGCTTGAGGTGACGTCATCAGGAGATGAAGAGCGCCCAGGGCCCAGGTGCAGGCCTCTGCAGGTAAGCCAGGCAGACGTTGTAGCAAATGTCAGTATCAGAGATGTTTCTTTTGGACACCGAACCACGGTAGAGTTTCTGTTCTATGCAGGTTCTAAGTGGTACTTTGCTCCAGGCTTGCTGGGTTTACCATTGGAAGATTGAGAAGGCCAGAATGGCAATTTCCTGTTTGTGATAACTGCTACTTAAGGGGGTATCAAGTTTAGTGAAGTAAAACCCAACTTTTTAAAAGAAGTTTATTTAAATGATAACTCCCAATATTAAAAAATGCCATTCTAATAATAATAAGATAATGTAATGTTTATGAATTTAGAAAAGGTGGGTTTTGAGTCATTTTTCCTTTCTTTTGAGATGGGATCTCATTATGTTGCCTAGGATATTATTTATTATTTAGTTTATTAATTCTTTGAGAATTTCATTCAGTGGACTTTGATCATATTTATCCCTTCCCTTCTAGCTCCTCTCAGGTCCAGCCCCTTCCCTACCTACCCTATTTTGTGTCCTCTTTAAAACACACACACACACACACACACACACTCACACACACACATACACACACTCACATAGTCATACACATACTCACACTCACACACACACTCACACAGATACTCACACTCACACACACACTCACACAGTCACACAGATACTCACACACACACACACACACACACACACACACACACACACACACACATGCACACACTTGCATGTGCAGACTCCTCAGTTAGGGATAGGACTTCCTGTCTACCTCCCAGCTTTACACTGGGAGTTTCTCCTTATCCATTGTATGAAGTGGGCCTTAAATCCAATCAGAAAGTGGATTAATTAATTAATTGATTGATTGATTAATTAATCCCATGACATTTGCACCACCATTGCACCAGTGGGCATGTCTTGCCAGAGCAGTCATTACTGTAGCTTGCAGGACTCACAGACGGATAAGGTTGATACAGACTTTCTCCTCCAGGAGAATGCACAGCACCCTTCAGCACTATGGAAAAACTAGCCAACAGAGATGAAGCATCCTGGTGAGTATCAGCATGATTTCTCTGTTTTAGGACTTAAGTAAGGTCTTAGGGCCTAAGATCTCTGCTACCTGCCCTCCCACCGCATTTAACCCTCCCTGACCCATTATCTCACCCTCCCCTTTAAACCAGCACAATCTATCTCCCCTCCCTTGAGAACCCCCTTTCCCATGTCCCCTTACTAGTTTCCTGACCTCGATGGGTATTCCATATGGACTATGTTATGTGTTAGATACGAAACACACATATTTAAAGATCAAGATAACATCCACAGATGAGAGAAAATGTGATGTTTGTCTTTCTGAGTCTGGGTTACTTCAGTCAGAATAGCTGTTTCCAGCGCCATTCACTTACCTGTGAATTTCTTAATGTCATTTTTCTTAATATCTGAATAATGTTCCATTGTGCTCATGTACTGTATTTTCATTATCCATTCAGTTGTTGATAGACATCTAGGCTGTTTCCACTTCCTGGCTATTGTGACTAGAGCAGAAGTGAACAGGCATAAGCAAGTGCTCTCTACGAGGATTTAGAGAATGTTGGAAACATACTCAAGAGTAGTTCAGCTGGATCATGTGACAGATCTATTTCCAGCTTTTTGAGGAACTTGCACAGTGATACACAGTTTACACTCCTACTAGCAGTGAATGTGTGTTCCCCTGTCCTACATTCCTGCCGGCATTTGTAGTTGGGGCAATAATGCCATTTACAACAGCAAAACCAAAAAATAACAACAACAACAAACAAACAAACAAATCCAAGCAGTACAATGAAAACTTTAAGACACTGAAAACGTTGAAAAGTTACCAGAAGAGGAAAGATCTTCCAGGTGCATGGATTGGTAGGATTACTATTGTGAAAATGGCCGTTCTATCTAAAGCAATTCCCAGACTCAACTCAATCCCCATCAAAACTCAACATGAGTCTTCACGGAAATTGAAGAAATCATCTTAAATGTCACATGGAAACACAAAAGACCGAGGATAGCCTAAACCACCCTGAACAATAAAAGCAGCGCTGGAGATATCACAACCCCAGATTTCAATCATACTACAGAACTATAGTAATAAAACAGCCTGAGACTGGCATAAGAATGGACACAACAACCAATGGAATAGAACTGAGGGCCCACAGGTAAGTCCACAGACCTACATCCTCCTGATTTGGACAAGGAAGCCAGCATTTTACACCCTGGACAGAAGATGTATCCTCAGCAAATGGTGCTGCTCAAACCGGATGGCTGCAGGTGGAAGAACATAAGTAGATTCTTCTCTCTCACCCCAAACAAAACTCAACTACGAATGGATCAGGGATCCTAGCCTAAGACCCAATGCCTAGAATCTGACAGAGGAGAACACAGAGGATGTGCTTCAACTTACAGGCAAAGAAAAGGCCTGCCTTTCCAAACAGAACCCTGGTAGTTTAGGTATTAAGACCAACAGCTGACAAATGGGATCTCCTGAGAGCCAAAAGCTGCTGTACAGTAAATGACACCGTTAATTGAATGAAGAGGCAGCCTGTAGAATGGGAATACATCTTTCCAGCTACACATCCATGTGTGAATAGCGTCTAAAATAGTAAAAGGACTAAGCAAAGCAAACATCAAGAAAACAAACAACCCAATTAAAAAATAGGACATGGAACTAAACAGAGTTCTCAAAAGATGACATACAAATTGTTGTGAGGTATTCGTAAAAACCTGCAATATTTCTGCCATCATGGAAATGCAAATAAAAACTACACACACACACACACACACACACACACACACACACACACACACACACTGACAAATCCAAGGCTGGTTTTGAACTCTGAGGCTTATTGATTCTCTTCCCTCAGCCTCCTGAATGCTGGAATGACTAGGTGTAGCTGAGTTCCTTCCTCTTTTAATTCCAATTATGAAGGAAGAGAAGAGAGATGCACACAAATATGTTTATCTGTTAGAAACATTTCAATAACTAAAGTATCAAAATTTGTTTTTGGCAGAAGTCACTCTTTATTTGATGTCAGTTTGGTTTCCGTTATATGAATAGCTTTCTCTGTTCTAGAATGAGAAGATGTCCTTCTCTGGAGTTTGGATAATTATGGGGGAGATCACTGTGAGTCCTGGTCTGACCTTCTCTGAAGGTGGGGGGATACAGAAGCAAGGAAGTGCCCAGGGAACTGGGGCAAATTTCACTTCCCCACACTGAGTAAGGGGAGTTGGCTTTGGGGCAATGGTTGAGGTTAACTGCTTTCAGAACCTTCAAGAAATGCTGCCTTTCACTTTTTAAAAAATTACTGTTTTTTTTTTTTTTTTTTTTTTTTTTTTTGCATTGTAGGCACTTGGAAGGAACTGATCTTTACCCCTTTAATCATGGCTATGTGTCATCCCTTTGGGAACTCTCATTGTTTCTGTGCCAGAGGCCACACCCAGGCACTGCTTCTTCCACAGACTTTGCATCCCGTTGGAGACTGTACCCTGAAGGATGACTCTGCAATGGATATTTCCAAAGTCTTGGTTTGGGGTGTATGAATCAAAGCTGGGATAGTTTTGCAACCAAAAACTTTTAATAACCAAAGCAGCTGGCATGCTGCAGATGCCCAAGGGCTTAAATCCTTCAATCTTCTCAGATCTTGTTGACATTAATGAAATTCACAAGGTCTCTTTCCTCTGAAGATAAAAGCTTTGAAGCAAACCCTGGGTGCCCAGCTGGGGGTCCCACTCTCTGCCTGTCCCTGACACTGAAGCTGGGTGTCCCACTCTCTGCCTCTCCCTGACTCCAAAGCTGGGGACAAAAGCGGGAGGCTGCTGAGTGTGTGCTGAGTAGTCGCCGGTCACTTGTGGAACTGAAACCACCATGGGTCTTGGCCAACAGCCAGTTCAATACCTAAATCTTCCTCCCCTAGACAACAGATGTTTCTAAACAACTGTCATTAAGCACAGGCTTAATTCTTGAAGTTCTGGTGTATGGGAGAGGGCACTAGGCCCAAGCAACACAGTCTAGGAAAATGCCTCCGTAATTGGGGACATGGGGAGAATCTGAGAGGAGTTCTGGAGAAGGGGAAAACATGATCAGAATATACTGTATGAAAAAAATTTTTTTCAATTAAAAATAAAATTATCAGTAACTTTGCAGCTGTTTACTCCAGAGAAGGCTGCTTTTCTTCAACCTTACTCACTGCCTGTGTTTAAAAAGGGATGGGCCTTTTGTCTTTTCATCCTAATACTGCTCTTTACATTTCAGCAGGATTTTGGAGAAGCACTGTGAAATGACCATTATTCAACAGACAGCTCCTATGATCACAACAGCATACAGTTCTTCAAAGTAATTCACAAATACCGCCAACATCAAGTTCAGTTTTTAAGTCAAGTTCTGAGAAAACTTGAAGGGAACAAATGTTTAGAAAATTAATTCTAGTTAAGCAAAAGAACACTGTCAAAATCAAATTATTTGTTGACACAATACCAAATGTTATTCGAGTCCATAATTTCAATGTCCATGTGGCTTATTAGTCCTTAATATAGCACATTTCTTTTTTACATGTCCAGTTGAAAATGATTTGGTCAAGACAAGAAAAAAGGCAAATTGGAGTCTTCATTGATTAATGACTGTTTTCCTGTAGACGTCATACTGAGAAAAAAAAATGGGTGAATTCACCAGTTTATCCCTGTCTGGGATAAAGATATCTAGAGAGTCTGTAGCCATTGAAGTAAGTGAGCAGAGTTCAAGCTTGGGAGGTGAGAAATGATCTCTTTTCTTACTTGGACAACAGGATTCAATGAGTAGACATATTGAGAAAGTTGTGGAGAGTCACAAATTCTCTGCCTCACTCTGCTCTCTGTAGCTGGAAGTTTTTCTGTGTCCCACCCAGTCCCACAACCGCTCAGACCTCAAATAAACATACAGAGGCTTATATTAATTATTAATTGCATGGCCATGACCTATGGCTCAATTTTCTTGCTAGGTAGCTCTTATAAATAAACTAAGCCCATTTCTTTTTCTTTTCTTTTTTCTTTTTTTTTGTTATATGTTTTTCTAAGATCTTTTATTTATTTATTTTATGGATGAGTGCTCTAATTGCCTGTATGTATTTACTCTAGAAGAGGGCATCAGATCCCCGTAGAGATGGTTGTGAGCCACCATGTGGTTGCTGGGAATTGAACTCAGGACCTCTGAAAAAGCAGCCGTGCTCTTGACCGCTGAGCCGTCTCTCCAGCCCCAGCCCATTTCTATTAATCTGTATGTTGCTACATGTTCTGTGGCTTTACTTGTGTGCCATTACATGCTGCTCCCTGGATGGCGGGATGGCGTCTCCTCTGCCTCTGCCTTTCTTCTTCCTGTCTCTCTCCTGGATTTCCTGCCTGCCTCTAAGCTGCCTTGCCATAAGCCAAACAGTTTTATTTACCAACCAGTCAGAGCAGCACACATTCACAGCATACAGAAAGATATCCCACAGCACTTCCCCTTTTCTTTCTAATCAAAAAGGAAGGTTTTAACTTTAACATAGTAAAATTACATATAATAGAACAGTTATCAAGCAAGAATTACAGTTACAATATCTAGTCTATTTGTATTTAACAAAGGTAAAGAAAATATTTTATCTATCCTATATTTGTGAGTCTAAAGTTTCATATCTAACTTATCTTTTATCATAACTAAGGAAAATTATAATTATAGCCATCTAGTCTTCAACTACATCAAAGACTTCAGAAGGATATAATGTTACCTAAGTCAACAGGAAATGCATTGTAAGCAACTTCCAAAAATCTAGAATGACAGAGACAGCTGGCTGCCTGGACAGTCACCCACAGTTCCTCTGCAGTATTGGGGCATCATTTCAGCCTAGAGGCCTAGAGGCTCTCAGTCGCTTCTTTCTCCCCACCTGCTGTCTCTGGAGTAAGAACAGCGAGAACACAGTGTCTCTTCCCCACGGTAGGTCTTTTAAAACAACAGCTGTGCGAGCCAAGCAGTACTGTCGCTTCCCTCCAAGGGAAAGAGAAGTGGTGTCTGGACAGGTGAGGTGACTGAGCAGTGAGGTGAGCCGTAGGTGACAATGAGGTCCCGAAAGGGAGGAACAGAGCAGCACTCTGCAACACGTAAGAAAGAGAACAGGAAAGTTGCAGGAGGGTCCAGGTGTCACTTGTCACCACAGGAAGGCTGGCTGTAAGGTTGAAGAACACTGCCTTCCCAGTACAGCAAAGGGTAGGTGACATTACCCCAGGAAGGTCCCAGGTGAGGGGGTCAGCAGGTACAGGACTTGCCGCAGCTGGATTTTCCACAGCATCTCCCTTGGGGGGCACTGGCACGTCTCATCCTCACGTCTGTAAGAGGGATGGTCATGCTCACTTTACTTCATCACAAGCAGGCTGGCAAGATGAGGGAGGGCTGCTGGTTTCAAGGACTTTTCTCAGTGCTATGGATCCATGGTAAATATGGGGCAGGGGATTGTATGGTAAGTTTCCCATGTAATCTTCCCATCTTTATAAGCATTTATTAGGATTGACGTGTCTTCGTATGGTCTGCAGATGAGAGACTTTTAGGGCCTTCGGTGTAAATGGGAGTGATCATTGCTGCTCTAAGAGACAGGCCTAAAGGACCAGGTGGGAAGTTAGGAAGTGGGAACCTTCCAGGGAGATGACCGACCTGTCCATAGCTCTCAGAACACACACAAAGGGCCACACTCAAGCCACAGGTGCTGGGGAGGTTTCTGAACCAATGTTCCGGGTTTCCAGTCTTCATGAAGACGGGAGGCTATGGTCTTCCTGCAGGATGCTGTTCCTCCTGACTCCCACTGGGACCCTCATGCCCTGTGCAAACGTTGACTGAAGGAGGACGCTGACTTCGAGCACTGAAAAATCTCTCCTTTTCCACAGTGAAATCAGATTACCCCAGTGACCTTGTTGTTCTCAGCCTTTGCTCTGGGAAGAAGAGAACATTAGATTCATATGGAGCTTGTAATTAATATTTAAGTTTTGCTTGATTAAACTTCTCCCAGAGCCACCTGGTCATTTCTAGTCAGCTTGATGAAAACCAAAACAAGTGATTTTGTTGTTGTTGTTGTTGTTGTTTGGAAGAACTTATAGATGGCTGCTCAAGAACGATGCAGAGCTTCTGGGATAATTATAACTACTTGTGGACTGGCGCTGGGCACTGTCTAGGTGAGCCTAAATGGCAGGGGTTAGCATCATCTTTCCTTTCTACAAAATATGAATGAGGCCATATATAAGCCATTCCTTGGTTTTGTGGTTTTGTTTTCTTCTCTGTGATTGAGGTACAAAAGTGAAGAGAGAGACATTGGATTTCAAACAAATGTTATCCTCAAATCCGGTAGTCTGAGTTCTCCATCATTTGATTTCACAAGTAATGGTCCCTAGAACTTTCATCTAGGGCTGGATAAACGGCTTAGTTCATAGAGTTGCACCCTTCCAAACATGAGAACCAGAGTTTGCCCCATTCCCACCCCAGAACTCATGCAGAAAGAGCCAAGTGTGGTGGCATGCTCTTGCAGTCCTAAGGAGACAGAGGTGGTGAATCCCTGGGGCTCACCAGCCAGTCTAGGGAGCTTGCCTTGTGAGCCCCAGGCCAGTGAGCAACGCCTCAAAAGACTGAAATGCATAGGGGCAGAAGGCACCTGAGGAATGAAACTGGGTGGTTATCCTCAAGTTTCCACACACGTGTGAATACATATGCTCCCACACACACGTGCACACACAGATAAATACATGAAGAAAAGACTTCCATCTAAATAATGGACTCAGCTCCCAAGGCCTCTTGTATTCTGTATAACAGTGCAGTGTGAGTGAATCCTTTGTGCTTCCGGGGCACAAAGCCCAAAGCTAAAGACTTGTATGGTATGATGTACAATTTGTTCTACTTTAAAAAATTAAATAGATAAACTCGGTGATTGTGCTTACATGAAAAATCCATGTTGTGCCGCCCCAGCCTTCCTGTGGGTTAGGCTTTGCTTGGGTATGTGGGCTGCATCTCAGCTTGCTTGAAGGACCTAGCTCTTTGAAAGTTCTGAAATGAATTTATGAGTGCAGAATTTGAATAGATTTCCAAGCCATTAGCCAGAAATTTTATAGAGTGGGAATATTTCTCACCAAATGAGCTCAATTAATGCAAAAAAATTATATATTTAATGAATGAATCAAAGCAATCTGCTGTGCTAAACCGAGCTAACTGCTGTAAGCAGGACAGAGTTAATGCTCTCCAGTCCTTACAAGTGTCTCAGTTAAAAATAACCTTGAAATAGCTTTCAGAGCTCTGGCGATCAACTTTTATCAGCTTCCACATTGGCGAGTTAAATGTGGCAATGGACATTCACCAAACGTCTCAAGGCAGAACCCTAGGGTTCGCCTAGCAATGTTCTCACAAATGTCCAGGGCTCTGCTAACTCCAATCACAGCTTTGAGGACACACATGCGCGCACACACACACACACACACACACACACACACACACACACACATAGGAGGAGAGAGAGAGAGAGAGAGAGAGAGAGAGAGAGAGAGAGAGAGAGAGAGAGAGAATGAGAGAGAATCTGGGGAGGAAAATTAAAATGTGACCATTTAATTTGCCACAGCAAAATTGGATTTGCACGAGAATGGACACTAGAGCTCTTCGGAAGTACTGATAAGTGGAACAAGCTGACGTTTGAGACTTTTGAATAAAGAATGTTTATTTGCCTGAGCTACATTTTTATCTCCTGAAATTCCTTGAGTCTAGTGTACCCAGTTGCTTTCTTCTGAATCAGGACTCTGCCTAGATGAGTGGGGACATGGAGAGCATGAAAATAAAATGATAGGTTGGCGGGTGGGCAAGGGGATGCAGGTAGGCTTGTTGACCCCACATGGCCCTGCCTCCCAGCCCCGTACAGCCTGCTACTAATTCTCTCTGACTGAAACAGCCTTGACACCACACCCAAAGGATGGAGGCAATGATAAATGAATCTGCATGCTGTGTCTTTAATGCTGTAGCAAGCCACTAAACATGTTGGCCATTACAACTGCAGATATACAGCTCCTACCTTATGGCAGATTATCTACAATGTAACTCTCCTCTCAGATGGACAGGGAGAGACCCCTGTGAGCAGCATGTAGTCTACTTTTTGCCCTAGTATTTGATAAAATAGTCTCACTCTGCAATCTCAAAGGGTTGCAGTGGTATTAAAACACAGCTAGCTATGGAATCCTTGGGTCATGCTGGATTCAAGAGCAGTATGATCGGATTGGCCGAAAACACGGTGTGATCACCTATGTGATGCACTGTCTGTCACTAGGCAGCGGTTTCTCTGTGCAGCCCAGGGCGTGACAGTCCTTGGCTGTAGGACGTTGTGTGCCAGCAGTTTCTAGCTTAAGCTCACACTCAGTAATTTCATCTTCCTGCCTTCAGACCCATGGCAGGCCTGCCTAAGTGAATGTTCTTGTTCTCCTACCTGTGGCCGGATGGCTGGTTGAGGGTAGACGGCTCTGTCTTGTGCCGCCACTAACTCCTGACTTTTCTAACCTCAGGAACTTTGCTATTAGCGGGTTTCCCAGATTTCTGGTTCACTGTGAGAACTGCAGTGGTAATAAATCAACAGGAAAATGTGGGCTTTGTCATGATCTCTGATGTGGCGACCTCAAGCTATGTGGACATTATCTTATGGCATTCCTGTGGGGCTGAATGCTTGCAGGGCGATTTCCTTTTTTAGTGTTTTGAGGCATGATATCTAAGTGGTAGTTAATATCCATATTGTAGGTCTAATTTTATATGAGACAATGGGGGGGGGGGGGTGAGGGCTCTTGCCTGGTGTTGACACTGGAGGAGGGGTGGGATGTCCAGGCAGGAAGGGGAAGAGCCTGTGTCTGCCCTGTCTCTGGGATGAGGGGGGAGTTGCTCTCCTACTTCATACAGCACTGTGCAGATCTCTGCCTGCACCTGTCCGCATGGACTGCTACTTTGCCCTGAGAGGTCAGATAGTTTGTCCACCCCTCCTAGATTCACCTGCAGAGCAGGCTCATGACTCTGAGGATACTGGGCAGATGAGCAGAGTGACTCTATTGCATCTTACCACCTGCCAAGTCAGGTCAGGACAGTGATGACACCATCAGGACTCAGATGGAGACCTGGACGAAGGCCTCACCAGATTTCTTGGCCTTTCCCCAGAGTCTCTCAATAGGGGTCTCCTGTTCTTCAACTGTCCACAGCCTCTATGAGGCATCGTGTTTGGGTCCAGTCTTAGAAGCATTCTTCACCGGGGAACTCTGTTCCCACACACATTTCTGTTACTGAGACTTACTTCTACCTCAAGAGTGTGCTGTATGATGGTGGCTCCTTAGGTCTGGGCCACTTGTTTCCAGTTTCACAGAGATCTCCAGCTCAGAGAGGCAGTGCCGATGTGAGGGTCTTGGGAGTCTAGACATTCTACTGTAGGAAGCCTTGTACAGCAGGGGCAGGGGTAGCAAGTGTTGCAGCCACATGGCCTGCCTGGGGTTACAAGGAGACAAAATGGGTGATAGATCTGCTGTCACCCCAGAGACCAGGAAGTTGGCCTGTCCAAACACTCTACCTTCTGGGCCAGCCTTGTGTGCAATCCACTACCTTCATTCCAGACTTTGGGGTTATCTTTTAACTGGACTGTCTATTAAGGAGAACGTAAACACCATTGTTAATTTGACTGGTGTGAAAAGTGTTAATTTGTTAACACTGCGATTGATGCAACCTTGGGTTGGTATAGCTATGCTTTGTAATATATAGGTGCTTTCAAAGATAGAAGTTGTCTGGGACTAGCGCTCCCGATGTCTGGGAAGCAGGAGCTGAAGGCCAGGAGTCAGAAAGAGAGATGGCACAGGAGGTGTTGGAAGCTGAACTTGGATAGGGTCAAAGCTGAGACTAAGCGTTTGCTCTGAATGACCAGTAGCAGGGGAGACGAAAGTCTGCTATTTATCTTCAGGCAAGGGACAGTGCAGACAGCTGTAACACGAGCCTCCACATAAGTCCATGCCAATGACCTTAGCCTTAGTGTGACCTCTGGTGGGAACAGGTTTCAGCTGGTGTCCTTTTAAAGCATCCATAAGCACCGCTGGCTGTGCAAGGATGTTTGGAGGTCTGGCAATGAATGTGCCCACCTCCTTAGTGCTAACGGGGGGGGGGGGGGAAATGCATATGTATAAATACAGGAAGGCTTTGGAGCAGGGAGAGTAGATTCCACTTAAAACAAGTTACAAAAGCATTCTGTGTTTCTGATTTACACAGGGCGATCAGAATCAAAATCAGCTCAATAACTGATACAGCCATTTAATGAACTAAGGTACATATAATTATTTGGATAGACCGTTCAGCACAAGCGACCTTTGCTTCAGAATCATCTCATCCTTTCAGTCTCTCCATTTCCTTTTGTGTAGTTAGAACCTGTTAGAAAATGCTTTATAAACTGAGATAAAGCAGGCCGTTTACAGATCAGCGTGAATAACTGAAGTGCCATTTCTCATATGGAAGAGCTACCAGCAGGTCTAATTACTAGCCTATTTGAGAGATCATGCTACAATAAAATGGAGAGAATAAATCTACAGGCTGCATGTGTTTCTACATGACCCAGCCATTACCCTAAAACTGAGTCTGTCAAGAAACCATCCATTCATCCTACAACAGGACTCCAGAATGGGGGCCCTCAAACAAATTCGACACAAAAGTTCACGTTGAATAAAACTACTCAAAACATTAAGTCGCTGTAAGTCCTCTTACAATTGTTTTCTGCTACAAGAACTCAATCGATGCATTTTTTTTTTTAAAAAATCAGTTCTACTTAAAGAATCTGACAGCTATAAGACGATAAATTAGAAGTTCCATAGTACATTAGACTGTGGCATCTGCATTTCCTGCAGCGTGAAGCTGTAAGACCACCAGAACAGGCTTCTACAAGGTTTCTGCTGTC